CACACACACACACACACACACACACACACACACACACACTGGTCAACATTCACCCTAGCATAAATAACATAACCGTCGCTCGATTTACAAGTTATATGCGCACCGCTAATTAGTTGTCGTCCGCCAGCCAAACACTCGAGTTTTGTTACCATTTGAATTTTTTCCTCCCAAATTATTATACTCAGGTGCAGGTGGAACGCCCCCCCCCCCCAGTAGGGGTGAAGGGGACCCCCCAACAGGAGCGAGGGGACCCACAGCAGGAGCGATGGAACCCCCAGCAGGAGCGAGGAGGACTCCTCTGCAGGGAGCGAGGGGACCCCCAGCAGGAGCGAGGGGACCCCCAGCAGGAGCGAGGAGGACTCCTCTGCAGGGAGCGAGGGGACCCCCAGCAGGAGCGAGGGGACCCCCAGCAGGAGCAAGGAGGACCCCCTCTGCAGGGAGCGTGGGGAGCCCCAGCATGAGCGAGGGGACCCCCAGCAGGAGCGAGGGGACCCCCAGCAGGAGCGAGGAGAACCCCCAGCAGGAGCGCTGTGTATCCTGGAATTCTCTGGCCGTGTGTTGAGTGCGTGGCAGGAAGTGCAAGGGGGGGCGACCTGGCCGCTGAACGACAACTTATCATCATCAAATAGTAAATTCTTGTTGAGTTCCTCGCAATTTGTTTACCAAGAAGCATCGAAGACAATTTGCAAAGCTGTGTAGCTGAAGGTAATTTGTGCACTGTGTATCTTGAAGAGATGCTGCGAGTGTGTTCAAGGAGGGTTATTGTTGCTTGGAGGAAGATCACCGGTGAACACATCTGGGAGGATTGTTTCTCCTTGGTGCCTTCTTGTCATGGAACGTTACCTTTATTTGGTGTGTGGTGACAACCCGTTCTCGCACTTTCTTACAGTCAATATTGACTTATTAAATACCTGCATAGGTGACATACTAAACATACTAGTTTACCTTGAAAAGCTTCATAGAAACTTATCTTAACATACTAAGAAGGTTAGGTAAGATCGGTGTTTTCTATGAAGCTTTTCAAGGTAAACTAGTATGTTTAGTATGTCACCTATGCACGCATTTAATAAGTCAATATTGACTATACGAAAGTGCGAGAACGGGTTGGTGGTGATGGGATAGTAGTGCTTCCTCCGACTGTTCTAAGTGAAGTTGAGTATGGCTTGTGGAGCTCCAGATTTGGCCAGAGGATAGGAGACAGACTAAGACAGTTCTATACTCTGGGAATTAGCACTAAATGCCAATTCCTTCTGTTTTGTCTCATGCTGTTGATGAAAGTAAAGGGGTTGCAAAACCAACCAAATTATTCGATGAATGTTTAGTTTGACCAGATATTCTATGGGAATGTTGTTTCTTGATGAGGTTAAGATAGTAATTTATTTTTTAAGCCTCTCCATACTTGAGTTACCTGGGCACTGTAACTCTCTCGCATCTCTCACCTCGCTCCCCTCACCAGGGGAGGTTCCCTAGCACCTTCCCCTCGCTCCCCACTCACGCTCTGGACCCTCCCCAGTAGGGGCTCTGAACACAACTAAGACTTTCCTCGGATATGTAAACTATGGATTTTTCCATGAAGTGTTTATAGACTTTTGTCTATATAGACTATATAGACTCGTTTATAGACTTTTTGTCAGGTGCATGAGTTATCGGGCTGATAGCTGCGATGCGATGATAGCTGGGGGGGGGGGGTGTGATCCTAGGAACCAGCACAAGGTAACCAAAGTACACCTCCCCAACCTCCCTTCTGCTTCCCCTTCTTCTTCTTCCAGTCCTCCACTTTGAGCCTGATGAACTTCGTCCTCTTGCCGTCCCACGGGTCATAGTTCACTCTCGCGATGCCACTGTCTTTTCTGTGTGAAAAGCTTGACCGTAAAGCCAGCAGTAACGGCAAGTGTTCCCCACAGACAGCGAGGGTTCTCTGGCTTCCTCTGAAGGTGGAGGTGACTGAGGCGTTAGTCAGCGTGGTTCAGAGTAGTTCTTGTTGCGCTCAGCATTAGACAGTATGAAGCGCATCTATATTAATGTCACCATCAACGGGAATGCAGTCCAATCAATTATTAAAATTGCGGAGCATGTAGAGTGTCTGAAAGTAGGATGAGTTGTGTTTCCATTAGTTTAATCACATATAATCTTGCGTAATAAGTGTGTGATAATTTGAGAGCAGCTGGATTATGGATTGGCCGGGAGAGATGCAGTTCCCACTAGTGCGAGCCTGAAGTGAGATTACCACACATCCGTGCATCAGGCCTCGCTAATGTAACTCTTGTAAATGTAATCATGATACAGACTGTAACGCAGGAAACAGCCAGCAGGCTGCCTGCAGCTGTGGTGACCCAGATTCAAGACAGTAGGTGTAGGGCCACTGTGGTCCAGGACTATGGGAAATGGCGGACCACGTGGCCCGGGACAGCAGGAGACGGCAGGCTACTGTGACAGTGTGACCCAGAACAGCAGGAGACGGTGAACTACTGTGTCCCAGGGCAGCAAAAGATCTATACTAGAGGCGAACCCGTTTTATATGACGAACAAATGAGGTATTCTAAAAATATGTTCTGAATACAGGGGAGGCTCGTCTGTTCTTTCAGTGGCCCATCTAGAAAAACAATATGGCGGACTATATCGGCATAAAACATAGAAGCAATTGGGGAACGACACGACAGTAGACGGAGGAGGACCACAGCGACACAGACACAAAGACGCAGAGTCGGCGGCGGAGTGAACGTTACAACGCGTCGGATTTTCACTGTGGCGTTTCTTATTACCGTCGTGTCAGCCCAAGCTTATTGGGGAGATATTTCTTGCACTCCTGCCTGGGCTGGTCTCTCCTGCGACGCTTCTCCCTCCTGCTACGAGGGACGCTCCTCCCTCATGCCGTGAGGGACGCTCCTCCCTCATGCTGCGAGGGACGCTCCCCCCTCCTGCTGCGAGGGACGCTCCTCCCTCATGCCGTGAGGGACGCTCCTCCCTCATGCCGTGAGGGATGCTCCTCCCTCATGCTGCGAGGGACGCTCCCCCCTCCTGCTGCGAGGGACGCTCCTCCCTCATGCCGTGAGGGACGCTCCTCCCTCATGCCGTGAGGGATGCTCCTCCCTCATGCTGCGAGGGACACTCCCCCCTCCTGCTGCGAGGGACGCTCCTCCCTCATGCCGTGAGGGACGCTCCTCCCTCATGCCGTGAGGGACGCTCCTCCCTCATGCCGTGAGGGGCGCTCCTCCCTCATGCTGCGAGGGACACTCCCCCCTCCTGCTGCGAGGGACGCTCCTCCCTCATGCCGTGAGGGACGCTCATCCCTCATGCTGTGAGGGGACGCTCCACCTCCTACATACAGTTTCCGTTCTATAAAGAGATTGATTGCGTCTTGTATCCAATTTAAATTCCTTGTTTTTTGTCCATAGCTAAGTAGCTGGAATTTATCACCGAGTTTCATTGTGATGTGGAAGACTTCGCTAATACCTTTTTGTAGTTTTCAATATTTCCCTTTGAGGTAATACTCATGCTGATATTTGGTGTCTCCAAAGGATGGCACGAAGCTGATTTTAACGAAGCACGAAGCTTGGTCGGACGTGATTTTAATTGAGTTTCTGTTTATTTGCCGTGAGAGCTGTCTGGACGTCCGGACTGCCCTTCTTTCTTCAAGTCTCATTTTTACATTTCTTTTCTTTAATGTATTGAATTTGTTACATATTGTTAGTTACTATTGTATTTCTTACTTTTTTTTTTGTCCACATTACCTCTAATGTTGACTTTTAGGTGCTGGATCCAATTTATAATACTGATTTGTGGACGCCTCTTATTAAAAGTCTGCCACCCTATAAATCGGTAGCTTATTATTATTAAACTATTTTGTATATGCATCGAAGTCAGCATATAATATGAATCAAAGTACATAATTATATTATTATAAGCTTTTCTAAGTTGCTAACTGACTTCACTTGAGTGGGTAAGTTATGTCCCTGTCTCTCGTTCGAACCATGTCTAAAATATTGTCAGTTTGCATTGTGATGGGAGAAGCCAGGGTAAGGAAAAGGTGAAAAGGAATTTTGAGGAATAGTTTAACTTGGTGAAGCTAAAAGGATAGCTAAGTGGATGTTGCCGAGTCAGATGTTACACAGGAAGATATAGGCAGGCACAGGCAGGCACAGGCAGGCAGGCAGGCAGACACAGGCAGGCAGGCACAGGCAGGCAGGCAGGCACAGGCAGGCAGGCAGACACAGGCAGGCAGGCAGGCACAGGTAGGCTCAGGCAGGCACAGGCAGGCTCAGGCAGACAAACAAGTAGGTGGTATTGATACACTTGTCGGGTGATGAACACATGTAAAACTCATCCAAACTTTTTTACTTTTCTCTGAGAAGACGATGAACTAAAATGCAAATGCAATTCCTAAATTCACTGCGCATGCATGCACGCGCACACACATGCACCTATGCTTGCAAATCCACCTACACCATCACCACCTGCACCACCACCACCTGCACCAGTGTATATATATTAATGTCGCACAATAATTCTGCTCCACAACTTTCATATTCAGTATAAATATCAAAATTGAAATTCCAAAATTCGAGCCAGGCAATTAATTCCGATTTTTCAAAATATTTTTCCCTAACGTACCACAGTGCGTTTTCATGTTCTTTTATGAATTGTGTTTGGAAGCGGGCGGTGTTATATCTCGCCGCGTGTTAAGCCTTTATCCTATTTTACTGTAGCTAAATGTGGTTTTTGTAATGGGTGGCTCCTGGTATTCTATTCCCCTGTCCTCCAATAGGAATGCAGACACCATTATAACACCAGGGTGGTTGATGAAACTGGTTCTGTTTCATTCTTGATTCCATTGAGTTCTGTTTCATTCTTGATTCCATTGAGTTCTGTTTCATTCTTGATTCCATTGGAAAAAATTCTTGTTCAGTGTATGACGTGTGGGCAAGGAGCCGGGTTCCTCCACTTTGTCTCATACGAGCAATTGTGACTTACAAACCTCGATCTCTACAAGCTTTCTGATTATGGGGAATCTTTCTGTCGGAGCCTGGCGGTCACCCAGCTGTCGGAGCCTGGCGGTCACCCAGCTGTCGGAGCCTGGCGGTCACCCGGCTGTCGGAGCCTGGCGACCACCCAGCTGTCGGAGCCTGGCGGTCACCCAGCTGTCGGTGCCTGGCGGTCACCCACCTGCCGGAGCCTCGCGACCACCCACCTGCCGGAGCCTCGGGCGACCACCCACCTGCCGGAGCCTCGCGACCACCCACCTGCCGGAGCCTCGGGCGACCACCCACCTGCCGGAGCCTCGCGACCACCCACCTGCCGGAGCCTCGGGCGACCACCCACCTGCCGGAGCCTCGCGACCACCCACCTGCCGGAGCCTGGCGACCACCCACCTGCCGGAGCCTGGCGACCACCCACCTGCCGGAGCCTGGCGGCCACCCACCTGCCGGAGCCTGGCGACCACCCACCTGCCGGAGCCTGGCGGCCACCCACCTGCCGGAGCCTGGCGACCACCCACCTGCCGGAGCCTGGCGACCACCCACCTGCCGGAGCCTGGCGACCACCCACCTGCCGGAGCCTGGCGACCACCCACCTGCCGGAGCCTGGCGACCACCCACCTGCCGGAGCCTGGCGGCCACCCACCTGCCGGAGCCTGGCGGCCACCCACCTGCCGGAGCCTGGCGACCACCCACCTGCCGGAGCCTGGCGGCCACCCACCTGCCGGAGCCTGGCGGCCACCCACCTGCCGGAGCCTGGCGGCCACCCACCTGCCGGAGCCTGGCGACCACCCACCTGCCGGAGCCTCGGGCGACCACCCACCTGCCGGAGTAAATGTGTAATATAATTCTTGCTCTATAGTATTCATTGTGTTTTTACCTCCATTAAAAATACACGCAGTAAAACTCCGAGAAAAAGTTTTAATGAGTAAAAGTCATGTTTTATTAGTTTGTGGATTCTTTTGATAAAGGCATATATAACAAGGGCTAGAGGCCATGGAGACTGAGGTATCCAGGCGCTCTTGGCACCCATCCCTCGTGGAGTGAGGGAACCAGGCACCCCTTGTTGGCACTCATGCCTCAGAGATGAGTGAGCAGGGCACTCGACCCTTACGACACCATTTTTCTTAGCCCTGCTATATTTGGCATTCTTTGAAACGGCTATCATTCCAGGGGGGAAAATTTTGGTGGTGGATGTTAAATATTGTACGTATATTTTCGGCTCAGCTGTGGATGATTGACTGGAACATGAATCGCACTCGTAGCTTAGTGATCCATTGGAATACATGAAATGGAGTCAGCATTCTGTCATTTGAAATCTTTCCGGTCTGGTGGAACAACGGCAGCCGACCAGTCTGGAACTCTCTCGGAAATGGCAAAATGGAGTCGGCGTTGCCAGTGGCGAGTAAGGTGGCTACGTAAGCGGGGAATAGCTGTTGATGTAGCCATCCCAGGATTGGGGATAGGCTATATGAACGTAACCATCCCAGCATCATGGATAGGTCTAGACATGTGGCTCTGACAGTGATTCAGGCGGAGATAAAGAGACAATTAGGTACTGAGGCAGATCATAGACACAGATAGAGACACAGGGGCCAGCACAGAAATATACACAGAAATGCACAGAGGAGGGGGGGGGATATAACGATACAGAGATGTACAGAAATGCGATAGACAGCCAAGAGAGAAACAGATGGGGCGGAACAAGGAAAGCCTGCTCAGTTTCTAACCTGCGTTTCTAACCTGCTCAGAGACAGAGAGCAGGTTAGAAACGGGAAGAGACATAGACAAAACTATAATTTTGATACACATATTTTAATATTATTTAATGACACACATGTTAATATTATTAACATGTTAATATTATATTGATAAAAGTGGAATATTAATTTTGATACACGTGGAAAATTAATTTCGAGACATATGGAAATAGTATTTTGATACACATATGGAATATTACTTGTTAGTAAGGAATATTAAGGCATAAACTATAATTTTGATACACATATGGAAATAATCATTGAGGCCAAACAGTGGCATAAAAACAGAAGAGAGACAATTAGACCTGAAAAGCCTGAATTAGCTAGACAGAAAATCATAGGTTAAAAAAAAGATATAATTCATTAAAGTTTTCACAGAAAACTTCGTTATTTGATTTCCATGTAGGAGAGAACGGGAAGTTTTAGGTCTGTTTCAACATTAATGTTTAAGATTTATATACACATTTATTCCGGCATTTTTATTTTCATCAGTTTTCGCTAATTTTGCGTAATAATTCGTATTTTACTGTCTTGGTTTAGTTAGCGTTCATGGAGCTTTGTTCTTCCATATTTACCTCGTAGTTCTTTTTATTTCAAATACATATTCAAAAATGTTTTTTCATAAATGTATATTTATAATAGATTTAGTTTGATATTTTTTGTAAATATTTAGTTTGATATTTTTTTTGGTAAATATCATTTTTTGTAAATGTATTTTTTGTAAATTTTTTGTAAATGTAATTTTTGTAAATATCATTTTTTGTAAATGTATTTTTTGTAAATATCATTTTTTGTAAATGTATTTTTTGTAAATTTTTTGTAATATACTCTTTTTCACAGGAAAATGAGTATATTAAACACTCATATTCTATATACTCATTTTCACAGGAAAATGAGTATATTAAACACTCATATTCCAGACACTCATGCACTCGCACCGTTCAAGGAGACAAGGATTGTCACAAATACAATCACAGTTATTGGCTGGGTGACAAGAACGTCTCAAACGTCATATTAATGACGGGAACTTGGCAAGTTACAAATACTATATAGAGTGGAATATTGTGACACTATTAGCTGCTCCCGTTCAAACTTGAAGTTGCTGACCTGCAGAACTTGCAGAGAACTTTGACCTCTCAGACATTAGATGGTACACCTAAGTTATTGACCAGTCCGTCCTCTCAAGTAGTCACAACGTTACGAAAATGATGTAGTATATTGTCCGAACTTAATCGACCGAGGATCATCCCCCCCCCATTCTCTCCCCTCCCCCATCCCCACCTCCCAACCACCCACCTAACCCCAACCACACGCTCATATGGGCGTTGGAGACTGAGTGGACAGCACGCTGGATACGTAATCCTGTGGTCTGGGGTTCGATTACTGGCGCCGGCGAGAAACAATGGGCAGAGTTTCTTTCACCCTGATACCCCTGTTATCTAGCAATAAATAGGTACCTGGGAGGTAGACAGCTGTTACGGGCTGCTTCCTGGGTGCGCGTGTGTGGGGGGGGGGGGGTGGCGGAAAATGTTAGTAGTTAGTAACATTTGATTGATTGACAGTTGAGTGGCGGGCCGAAAGAGCAGAGCTCAACCCCCGCAAGCACAACTAAGTGAATCCAACTAGGTGAATACACACCCCACCCCCAATCAAAGGCCCACAGTACCCACGCCGTTGCAACCATCAACAACGGAATTTCACGCTCGTCAAAGGCTGTTCCTGGAGGTGGCGTTGAGAGACACACGTTCAGGCCGACAATTAATAACTGAAACTTGGAGGTGAGAACACCTTGAGATGTTCCTGGAGACTCTGGTGCTGACTTGGAGACACGAGCACAATGTGTGCCGTGATCTTGATACAAGATGATGCAGTGATGATGTTAGCGTGTGTTGGTAGGCTGGTAGTTGATGGTTATTAGGGAATTATAATGAGGGTCTCAGCAGGGTGTTGTGAGCAGCTGATGCTATCCTTGAATTAGACTCCCACGCGCGTGTGTGTGTGTGTGTGTGTGTGTGTGTGGAGGGGGGGAGTTGTAACCCCCCCCTTTCCCTAGCTCTAACTCGCTTTTAAATGCCAACACACACCTGTCATCAGTTCTCACACCTGTCATCAGTTCTCACACCTGTCATCGTCATGCGTTTGAGTGTGATGCTGACTTAGATTTAAGCGATAATTGTTTAACATGTGTTCAACAAATGTCAACATTTCATCCGTAAAGGCGTATTACTTAGTCTGGTAACTATGCGAGCTTCACCTGTTGTAAATAGTTCATTACTGCTGTAACTTGCTTAGTAAGGTACAGTTGTAATTGTTAATCACTTCCTGTACCCATTATGTGCAGCTGTAACCTTTGATGCTGGCTACTAGAGGGGTTTATGTGCACAATATGCTAACTTACGTAGTTGTGCTGTACGGGTTGAGGCGTGCTGTACGGGGTGTGGCATGCTGCACGGGTTGAGGCGTGCTGTACGGGGTGTGGCATGCTGCACGGGGTGTGGCATGCTGTACGGGGTGTGGCATGCTGCACGGGGTGTGGCGTGCCATTCCGCCGACTAGGGGCTCATCTTGGCTACGACGGGTTGTGTAGTTGAGAACGCCTGCCTTGTGTACGTTGTTTTAAATTCAGCTATTCAGAACAAAAGTTCCAAAATAGCACGGGCTATGGTGAGCCCGTAGTGGATTTACCTGGCACAGAAGCGGGGCTGTAACACCTTGTGTAGGTGTTGCCTGCTTCTTAAAACGGCTGTGTCGTCACCGTAGGCTCAAGAGGCCCTCGTGGAGCGAACCGGTCTCGTATCCTCCACTTTAACCACTCGGTAATGACGGGTACTCTTAACAACCAACCCGTAATTCTCTGTTGGGTGCTGATCACTCTTCACTTGGGAATTACCGCGCTGTTAACGCCACTTTGCTAGACGAGCTTGTATCACCCACACGTCATTATCTTGAAGATAACATTCGTAAATATCTATTAGTAATGGATATCCGTCGATTCGTTGAGCGTTTCGTTACTGGTTAAAAATTCGTTAATTGGCTCACTTAACGCGGGAGGATAGTTGACGTTTATTCTAGGGAATGACATCAGGGGAGTTGACTAATTGGTCTACATGATTAGTGACAGACGAGGGGAATACATGATAGAAAAACTAATTATTTAATTAATAGTGAGTTTATTTGACACTTCAGTTTACTTAATACATGCTTAGAACTATAATTCCTACCTCAAGTAATTCAGTATTGATAAGACTCTGAACCCGGCAACAGAACTTACACTTTTATAAGACTTGAGATTGATAATGAACTTAACCCGGTACTTAGACTTATACAGGACTTGAGATGCTTCCAGCAACAGTTCCTAACACTGATCTGTGTCCTCCCCCCACCCTACTATTTCCTCCCCAACCCACTATTACCTCCCCACCCTACTATTTCCTCCCCAACCCACTATTACCTCCCCACCCTACTATTACCTCCCCACCCGGGAGATAAGCGGGAGATCTTTTCTTAGTGGTCACGTGACTGTTATGGTAGTCTCGCTCCGGGCTTACTCTTTGATCCTCATTTTGTTCCCAATTTTGATAATGAGAAAGGAAAGCAATTTCCGGTGTAAACAACGAGTCTGTTCTGGCGGTGGAGGGAGAAGAATCTGTGCTGATGGCGGCTACGGCGAGGCGTCCCTGCTGTACTTAAACTATAAAAAGCAATATTATAATTTCCATGAAGCGTGAGGACAGGGTAGCTCCTGGTTGGCTGGCAGTCCGAAGTGGGTGATTACGAAGGAGCAGGCAATAGTGTGTTGTTGGTGTGGGACAATCGCCGGCTGGACACTCAAACGGCCGGCGACTAGCCAATCAAATCCACCTTTGATCTAGGGATTTTGCGGACGTGGTTGATTGGTGCTGGTGCCTGACTCTGGAGACGTGGGAAGGGATGGGTTCCGGACTGGGGACGTAGGAGGGGGGGGGGGGACCTGGCTAGGGGGGACATGTATGTGTTAATTCTTTAAACATTGGCAGGGATGTGTTTTACCTGTTTACATGCCAGCAGCAGCAGCAGCAGCAGTGACAGCAGGAACAACAGTGG